TTTTTTTTTTTTCCAACCCTCTCGTTTCGACCCTCTCGGTCCGCTCCGGCTGTCCGTTACCGCTCCCGCGCAACCGCCCTATTCACCCTTGCGGGCTCTTGCGCTCCCCGAACGACCTGCACTCCGTTGTTCGCGTTTGACGCTCCGTTGATATTTCGAATGAACTACCGACGCCGCCATCGGTACACGCACACAAATATATGTATATATATTTCGATACACCCTTCGGTACGCATTTGTATTGCGTTACCCGATGCGTAAAACCAATCACGGTGTACTTATAAATCTACTGCGAACGAATGCGGTGGACACAACAATGTGCGGGGAGAACGTTGTCAGATATTGTTTTCTTAGGGAGACGCGACCGGGACCTGATCAAGTATGCGCGAAACGGTGTTTAATTAACGGAACGTTTCGATGTTTTCGTGAGAAAGCAACGTTCTGAAAAAATAAACCGTTTTAGAATATTCGAACCTTGCGGTTCTTTTAAATATACACTTTTTTACGTATCAATTGGTATTTTTATCACACCGTTATAGTCCACAATAAATTCCCATAGTCTTAGGACTGCAATAGCGTTCATCGATTATATATTCAGTTGCATATTGAAATCACGAATTTTAAATGTATAGTTGAAAATAGCTAAGCGATTAAATGTATCACGCGACGGATAAGACTAAATTACGTAAATAATAAACCCTGGGACAAAACATATTCCGTCTGCTGATTTCGTTTTAATTTAATTACGGACCGATTAAATAGTTAAACACTAATAATTGATTTTTTTTTTTTTTTTTTTTATTAATTAATTTATTAATCACTTGCGTTCCTTTGATAATCACTTGAACTCATATTTTAATACACCTATCACGTACAGAACACCGTGACATATTATTTATTTAATCTCTTGCGTGTATAAATATATCGTAACGTCGGAAAAATAAAAATAAAATCCTTAAAAACGATGTTTTTCACGAGCGAGTCATGAGAATGATAAAAAATAAAACCATCCATAATTATATTTTAACGATTTCATACCGGAATCGCGATCTGCGTCTCGTGCTATTGCTATATCTATCGCATAACATAATGTTACTGTCACGTCAATGCTGTACCATGGTACGTACGCGGATGAACGTATTTTAACGGTCCGTTTCGTCCTGTTGCAGGTATATACACGTCAAAGAGAAGCCCTTCAGATGTCCGGTGTGCGGCAAAGGGTTCTGCCAATCCAGGACGTTGTCCAGCCACCGGAGCAACCGGAACTCCATGTGCCTGGACACGACCATCCTGCACCATCAGAACCATCAGCGGAACGCGGCGAACGCGCGCAGGCCCAAGATGATCACGGATTTCTCCATCAACTCCATATTGAATTTGTAAACGTCCGTGCAACCGCGTTTATGTTTTCGTCCCCTCGAATCTTTTGATCTCAAGTACATGGGCGCGTGCGCGTGTGCACGCGACGTATATGAAGGCGAAAGACAACACGTTTTATTATTATTATTATTATTATTATTATGTTACGTCGAATTCGTCCGCGTCTCACTGAACTCGATACGTTGTAGCGCGCCGAATGATCAATACCGACGCGAAGATTTATGATTATTATTGTCATTACATAGTTCTGCGTGCCGCCCATCGATTCCCGACGTGCATGAATTTGCATCCAACCGGTACGCGAACGCTACGTGTGTCCCCGGGTCTCTCGAAACAACATATTTTCAATTTTACCAGATCCGTATCGCATATACGTATACAATACGTTCTCGCGCGTCTAATGTGAATGAAAAAAAAAAAAAATTTTTTCTCGTTTTATCGCACGTTTTATTATCCCGATCGGGCGCGACCGCACGACGAGACACGTAGTTTATTAAGTTTATTTTGTTTTTTTTTTTTTTTTTACGTCCGATGCATATAATTTTATACATTATATTAGCGCCGTGTAAGCAGTAATATTTTATTTTATTTATTTTATTTTTTTTTTTTTGTTTATTATTAGTCTTACAACTGTTTTTACCAAAGATGTTTAGTAAGCCCGCGCGTGCTCCGCGCACGTATTATTATGTATTACACAATATATATTATACCATTATCTAAACGCGTGTGTTTTTCACTCGACGCGTACGTCATCGCGACGATGTAGATGTTGTTGTTCCGTAAGTAAACCAAAAAAAAAAAAAATCCGATTCTCCCCGCGTTTCGGACTCGTACCGTGTGCGCACGTAACCGTCGGACGAGCAGCTTTGGTCGAAACCGAAAAGAAAAATGCGGAGCGTGTGGCCGCGAATATCGCGTCGTATCCCCGTGCACGTGCACGCCGCGGCGTTGTTGATGTTGGTTGCGCGTTCACACCGGGGTCGGCGGACGGGAAAACGCGAGTTGGGTCCCGAGCTGTTTGATCGCTTAAAATAAACACGAGTTGGGTCCGCGATGTCATTCGATAATACTCGAATTGAGTCCGTCGTAATTTCCGGCTATAAGAGTAATCTGAATAATAATCGGTAATATTTTATCTTACAATCATATTGTAACTTGTCGGTATGCCGGCACGTGTCAAGGCTAAAAGTCCGTCTAATAAAATATAAAAAGTATAGCCTGTTTTTTTTTTTTTTTGTTGTTGTTATATTACGTATAAAAATTGAATTATGGATTTCGCGTCAAGCGAAAAAGGGTAAAAAAATGATCATTAAAGACGGATTAAAATTTCGCTTCCACAAAACGTCGGAAGTGTTATCGTAATACCTGTAAGTGTTTTTTTTTTAAAACTATCTTGCACTTTAGACATAACGGAGAAACGTAACGTGCATGATCACCAAAAACGTGACGAGAAGGTTCTGAACGGACAAAAGTTAAGCGACTCGGTTAAAAGAAAAGCGCAAGACGATGTTTCTACACGACCTTCGAAGATCATTAGATCCGAGTTGAAAAGCGGCGATATGCTCTCGATAGACGCTGATGATTTGAAATCGATAAAAAACAACATCTAGGCTAGAACTGACCTAGGCTGGAACGTATCGGCGGGACCCGCGACTCGTGCACTCCGTAAAATACGTCCGGACCCGATTCATGATGTTTTTGAAATCGGGGTACCCGACTCGAGTGCGTCCCGGCGGACGCCGAAAGCGCGGTACCGAACGGGGGGGGACGGGGGGACGGGACGAACCCACCGGTTTCGTTCGGACGCGCTTTACGGGCGGCCGTTACGGCGAACGGACGGGCACGCCCGTGGGAAGCGTTCGGAAACGAAAACGAATCCGTTCGCGCGACTACCGACGTGTACGTCCTCGAGCCGAACGCGGTAGCGCCGTCACGTGCGGGCACCACCTGCACCGTTAATTAGACGTCCGATATCGGTGTTGCGCGTGATCTACCCGCGCGCGCGCCCCCGTCCGCCCGTCCCTTATGCTACCGCGGACAATGACCACGCCCCCTCTTTCTCCGCGCTCCCGGCGCTTCTTCCCGTGCACCGCGGCACGTGCGCGGCTGGAAACGGTCGAAACTGAGACGTTTGCGTGTCCCCCGGCCACCGGGTCGTTGGACCGCTCGGGGCCCGAACCCCCCCGGGCCCCCTTCCCCCCGGCCCTTTCCCCCCCCCCCCCCCCCCCACACACGCACGCGCACGCGCACGCGCACGTGCTGCGAAACCGGGGGTTCCGGCGGCCGCGAACTTTGAACGACGAAAAAAAAACGGCAACGGGTAGTACAAAAATCGCCTATCGTTTGCGGCCGAGACAAGTGTATAGCAGTGCGTGAACGGCGCCCCCGTCCAAAGCCGGTGCCGCGGCACGATGCGTCCGGCGACAAATGTTCGCGTCCAACCGACGTTGGACGATTGCCGTCAAAGGTCGGTGTTTTCGGCCCGCGTCAAAGGAGTGTTATCATCCGACGTCGGAAACGAGTTGCGACCAGCGTTTTGGTACACGGCTGCACGACGTGACGCGCGTGGTCGCGTGTCCGGTCGTAACGTCTATGCCTGCTAAACGCTCTTGAACGGTTATTGCCTTACTCGTGTCGGTGTCTTGTTTGCTTATTTTCGGTTCAGTTTTTGTATGCCATTCGACGGAGGTTAAGAAATCCTCCTGATGTTTCTGTCCTTAGAGCCAGTAGCACACGTGAAGCATTATATCTAGCAAACAGAGTTTATACGATTAAACAACGAACACCGCGTAAAATCTATTTCAATAGAAACATCAATTTTAGGTTCAACTTTATTACCGTCGTTCCTCTACTCCTGTTCGATGACGTTATCCACCGCCTCGTTGCACGTATTTTCTTCTGTTTTCGATCAACCAATACCTTACTACAAGCTAAAACAACGACAGTGGCTGCGGCTGCAATCACGTCGTCCATTTTTCGAGTTATTTCTTTTTTTTTTTTTTTTTACTTGTTTTTTAAGTTTTTAAGCGCGCACACATCGACACTCAGATACGCACCGGAGGCGAGTGTTCGTCCAACGTTCCGACGTGACACCGGTCAATCCAATGTTGAGTACGACGCGTGGCTGCATCGGTCGGTCAAACGTCGGTCCCAACGTTCAGCCCACCAATGTTGGAGTGCCGACGTTCGGCGCGTCGCGCGGCACCGGCTTATTGATATTGTACACCTGTTACGTCCGACACGCGACGCGAGCGCCGGAGGCGCTAAAAATTACCTGTCGTCTGCGCCAAAATCGATGTTCCGTGCGAGTACCCGGTGCGCAATAATTTGTCCTAGCAACGTTACCGCAAAGCGGTTTCGACGAAACGCGGAACATCGCAATCGTCTCCGTTTGTTTTGCGCTAGAATAGGTGACGTCCGCGCAACCGTAAGCGTTCCGCGTCGCTGTCGTTCGATCAACGTCCTTTAAACGTCGCTCTAGAACAGTGGTTCTCGACCATTTTTTTTCCGTTCACTATTTTATACGTCACAAGTTATCGCGGCGCGCGCGCGCGCGCGCCGGATCACGACGAAAACTTTGACCACGCCAAATCCGGTAGGGTTTCGACCGTGCAGCGTACACCGTACGGCGTTGTGCGCGGCATAATAAAAATAGACAAAATACAAAACTTCGTTTAGCTAAACGTTTGAATTGCGTGATATCGGGCCAACGAAGCGGACGAACCGAGGCGCCCACCTTGTAAAATAATGTTTAAGGACGCGAGCAACACGGCGGGGAGACGGTGCGGGTTTCGAACGAGAGACGGATGGTGTTGCACAGTGAAACCGCGGTATCTCGAAGTCGTAAGGGACCCCGAAAAAAATATTCGACGTATCGAAACTTCGAGTTAGAGAGGGAATTTAAAACATAAATACAATTTGAAATAAAAATGTGTTAAATCATTGGGGAAAATGTGTATTTATAATATAGAATGTATTTATACATTGAACACATATTATGTGTTAGTGTTCATCATTTGGATAAGTGTACATTATTTTCCATGAAAGTAGAAAATCTGACATTTTTGTTTGTTTTTGTTTAGTATTAGAAGTATTTTCAATAAAACTACCTAAAATATTAAGTGCAGAAAAAATATTGTCAGAAACTCCTGACTGTTGTTGAACGTATCTTCGAGGTTCATGTATATAAAACTATATACATGAACTTCGAAGATTCGTGGTGCTTGGGCACCACGTATGAAAGATTTAACAACAGCAATTTCTTCCTCGTCGATTGCTTCATCGACAGAATCTGTCTCTGGCTCACTGAGAAAATCAGATGTTTTAAACATTTCCGCATCGGTTAAACTTTCTGATGTACTCAAAGTAGAATCAATATCCAAAAATTATTACATACAACGTTGTGTGTATAAGCTTTGTCGTTTAATCTTATATTTAATAGTCTGGGCATTTTATACGTTATCTAATCTGTCATATATTCGAGTTAGTGAATCATAATAGGTGGGGTAGGTACCGGATAATGACTTCGACTTATAGAAATATTCGGCATATGGAAATTCGATATAAGGAAATAACTGAGTACGTAAGTCCAATACTGAATGATCGGGACTGAAAAAAAAAATTCGACCTACAGAAACTTCGAGATACCGGAGTTCGAGATACCGAGGTTTCACCGTAATCGATTGATAGAGACCCGTTGATTTGTGTGTTTGTCTTATGTACAATAAAGTCATTCGAAACGGTGTATTTAATTGTTCGTCGATCTTTTCGTGTACCATCGAAACACAGGTGTACTACAGTACACATTACCTACATGTATGTCTGCACGATCAACTGACGTTTAACTGTCGCGGTTTTATCGATCGGCGTTTTCAAATATCGGACGTTTTTCGCGGCACACCGGTCCAGAACCACCGCTCTAGAACGTCCGTCCAACAACCAATTGTAACACTGTAGTTAAAAAAAAAATAATAGTTATTCGAAAGTTTCATAAAAAAAAAAAATATCAACTGTAAACAATAAATATAAATGCGATTCATCGGTTGATTTTGTAATCCCATTTTTTTCACGTTTTGGCACGTTCGTACATTTCTATTGCATCGAACAAATGTTGTTACACGCCTAGGGTTTTGGCGATTCCGTACGATACGACTTTGTTTTTATTTATTTATTTTTTTTTCTCATCTCATTTTGGCGCTCACGTCTTCCACCGGAAAAAACTTCACGACGCGCGTAACCGTTGCTGATAGGTACGCATCTGTTCGGTGGCACGGCAGTAATGCTACGGGCCCGGTCCGCGTCCCGGTAGACGATTTGACGGTCGCTGATTAGCGGGTAGTATCCGGAAACCGTCGAAAACGATAGCAGCTGCAGCGAACGTTGTTTAATCCGTCCGAATGCTGCGCACCGTGAACAGCACCGGAACAGTGTTGATCGCGGGGATCGCGTGAAACCAACCCCGATCGACCGGGATTTCTTCGGTTCGGACCGACGTTTTATCTTAGATCCCACCCGTAAACGTTCCATTGATACCCCTGATCTTTTGTCAACTATTGGTTTCCGTGCCCCCTTTTATACGACCGGCTCGCGCACTCATTGTTTCTTATGCCTACACATCTCACACTAATTACAATCATAATCGTCCTACCCGTAAAACGCTACGAATTCTCAACTCCTCTTAACTCAACTCCCGTTCAAACTCGGAATGATTACCTCGCCGTTCACTCATCTTCCTTTTAACACTATTTACCGTTAATTTATCATTGTAAACACTTTGGTTTTATATATTAATCACTCGACACGAAACACTATACTTTTGATTTCACTTCTTTCGAAAATTGCTGAAAAAAACGGCGTTAAACAAATAAATAACCAATGCACGCGCAATGCGGATAGGGTTATCGTCGTCACCAATCGTTCCGATGTTGTGCTGCGGTTACGGGTCGACCGGCCTTGGCGTTTTGCCGCTCGAACAGGATTTACTAGCCGCGTTCGCTCAGGACGAAGTTCATCGATCGCGTCCTGCCTTGCGCGCGCGCCGTACGAAACTACGAAATTACTACGCTTTTGAGTGTTCGGCGCTCCCGTTAAACCGCGGTGCGTTGTGTTGATGCACTCCGTTCGAACAGTGTCGTCACGTCGAGTCCGCCCAAAACAAAATCAAACACTTGCGTTATGCGCTGGGCCCCCACATACAATTTCGGGCCCCTACACT